ATGAAAATGGAGAATTTCATACGAATATGACGTTTTAATTAGTCTAGCATGTCGTGTAAAATATTGCCTACTTACCTCGATGTACTATTCACACAGCCGTGCCTTGATAGCACGCTCTTGATAAACAGAATGTAGTTATTTACGTAATTTATAGAGTTTTCAAAGAGATACGCTGCTAGATTGGATGCACTCATGTGATAACAAAAATCCAGACTAGTTGCTCGTAGTAGTGAAAATATACGATAATTTTTACCTCGAACATTGTAAAATTATGGAATTGTGCGTTGATTAAATTATTTGCCTTCACATTTGTCTATAAGTACGTTTAATGATACGTTTGTGATAAGTTTATAAAACGTTTTTCACCTATAGAACATATTTTAAATTATTCGGCATGATTTTTGTATATAAGTATGTGTAATGATACGTTTTGTGATACGTTTTAAGTACGTTTTGTTTTACAAAAAATAATACGTACTTACGTCGCGGCACATTTTGCTATTGGTAGATTGAGAACATATTCTAGATACATGAAAATATTCATTTTGGATATACTCCTGTGATAACAAAAACCCAAACTAGTTGCTTGCAGTAGTTAGAATGTACGTTAATTTTTGCCTCTGACACTATTAAATTATGGAATTGTGTGTTAACTAAATTATTTGGGTTGATATTTGCACATGAGTACGTTTAATAATACGTTTATGATACATTCAAGTATGTTAAATGATACGTTGATGATATGTTTGTTACGTTTTAATTACGTTTAGTGTGTGTTTACTTCGTATACACTTTATTATTGCCGAATAGAATGTCGTTATTTTGGTTATACCCTTGTAATAGCAAAAATTCAGATTAGCTGCTTGTAGTGGTTAGAATGTACGTTAATTTTTGCCTCTAACACTATAAAATTATGGAATTGTGTGTTGACTGAATTATTTGGCCTGATATTTGCTCATAAGTATGTTTAATGATACGTTTATGATACGTTCGGGTTACGTTTATAAAATGCTCACACTACGTTTTAAATTTATTGTCATTACGGTACGCTTTACTATTGGCAGATAACATATTCTTGATAAATAGAAGGTATTTATTTTCGATATACTCCTGTGATAACAAAAAACCAGACTAGTTGCTTGCAGGAGAATGTACGTTAACTTTTGCTTGTGACACTATAAAACTGTAGAATTCTGTGTTGATTAAATTATTTGACTTGAGATTTGCAAATAAATATGTTTAATCATACGTTTATAATACGTTCGGGTTACGTCTATAAAACGTTGACATTACGTTCTAAATTTTATCTTTTTCACATATAGAAGTGCTTTCAAAGTATTTTTCGTGATATTTGAATGTGTGTATGTATAGTGATACCTTGATGATACGTTTTAACTACGTTTGATTACACTTTACTATCGGCAGATTGAATATATTTTTGATAAATAGACTATATTTATTTTGGATATGCTTCCCTGATAAAAAAAGTTAAACTAGTTGCTTCTAGTCGTGAGAATATATGTTGATTTTTACTTCTGGCTCTATAAAATTGTGGAACTGTGTGTTGATTAAATTATTTGGCTTGATATTTGCATATAAGTACGTTTAATGATACATTCGTGATACGTTCGGGTTACGTTTTAATTTTATCATTTCGTTTTCCACATATAGAAGTGATGTTAAAGTATTCGGCCTGGTATTTGAGTATAAGTATGTTTAATGATACGCTGATGATACGTTTGTGCTGCGTTTTATTTATGTTTTGTTTTGCAAAGAGTAGTGCGTAGTCACGGTACACTTTACTGTTGGTGGATTGAGAATATATTGTTATTTATTTGGGATATATTTTTCTGATGACAGAATTCCAGAATAGTTGCTTGCAGTAGCTAGAATATATGGTAATTTTTGCCTCGAATATTATAAAATTGTGGAATTTTGTGTTGGTTATATGATTTGTCTTGAAATTTGCTTATACATATATGTAATGCTACGTTTTTGATACGTTCGGGTTACGTTTATAAAACCTTCATATTACGTTTCAAATCTATTATCCCGTTTTTCACATATAGAAGCGATTTTAAAGTTTACGGCGTTATATTTGAATGTAAGTATGTTTAATGATATCTTTATGATACGGTTTAATTACGTTTTGTTTCAAAAACACTAGTACGTACTTTTCTCGAGGTACACTTTAATATTGTTAGATTGAGAATATATTCTTGATAAATAGAATATATTTATTTTGGATGTACTCCTGTGATAACAGAAATCCAAACTAGTTGCTTAATTATACGTGATAGGTAATCAGAATAAACGTGATTTTTGCCTCTGACACTATAAAATTGTGGAGTTGTTTCTTCATTAAATTATTTGGCTTGATATCTGCATATAAATACGTTTAATGATACGTTTGTGATACGTTCGGGTTACGTTTATAAAACTTTCTCATTACGTTCTGATTTTATTATTCCGTTTTTCATGTATGGAAGTGGTGTTAAAGTATACGGTGTGGTATTTGAGTATGAGTATGTTCAATGATACGCTGATGATACGTTTGTGTTACGTTTTAATTACGTTTTGTTTTAAAAACACTAGTACGTACTTTTCTAGAGGCAGATTGAGTAGATATTCTTGAGAAATAGCATGCATTTGTTTACGATATATTCCTGTGATAACAAAAATATAAGCTAGTTGTTTGTAGTAGCTAGAATATACGTTAATTTTTGTTTCTAACACTATAATATTGTGGAACTGTGTATTGATTAAATGATTTGGCTTAATATTTGCATATAAGTACGTTTAATGAAACGTTTGTGATACGTTCGCATTACGTTTATAAAATGTTCTCATTACGTTCCAATTTTATTATTTCGTTTTTCGCATATAGAACTGATTTTAAAGTAATCGGCGTGTTGTTTGAGTATATTTAATGATACGTTTGTGCTATGTTTTAATTATGTTTTGTTTTACAAAGAGTAGTGCCTAGTTACTTTGCGACATACTTTACTGTTGGTAGATTGAAAATATGTTCTTGAGAACTAAAACGTATTTATTTTGGATATTTTTCTCTGATAAGAGAACTCTAGAGTAGTTGCTTCGAGTAAGTTAGAATATACAGTAGTTTTTACCTCGAACATTATAAAATTGAAAAATTTTGTGTTGGTTTAATTGTTTGTCTTGAAAGTTGTGTCTAATGATATGTTTTTGATACGTTCGTGTTACGTTAATAAAACGTTCATATTACGTTCTAATTTATTATTCCGCTTTTCACATATAGAAACGATTTTAAAGTACACGGAGTGATATTTGAACGTAAATATGTTTAACGATACCTTAATGATACGTTTGTGATACGTTTTAATTACGTTTTGTTTTAAAAGCACTAGTATGTACTTTTCTTGAGGTACACTTTACTATTGGCAGATTGAAAATACATACTTCAAAATAGTATGCATTTATTTAAGATATATTCCTGTGATAACAAAAATCTAAACAAGTTTTGTAGTAGTTAGAATATTCGTTAATTTCTGCCTCTGACAATACAAAATTGTGGAACTGTGTGTTGATTAAATTATTTGGCTTGATATTTGCGTATAAGTACGTTTAATGATAGGTTTGTGATACGTTTGGGTTACGTTTATAAAACGTTCCTATTACGTTCTAATTTTATTATTCCGTTTTTCACATGTAGAAGTGATTCTAAAGTATTCGGTGTGATATTTGAGTATAAGTATACGTTTGTGCTACGTTTTACTTATGTTTTGTTTTACAAAGAGTAGCGCGTAGTTACCTCGCGGCACACTTTATTGTTGGTAGATTGAGAATATATTCTTTAGAAATAGAACGTATTTATTTTGGATATATTTCTCTGATAACAGAATTCCAAAGTAGTTGTTTGCAGTAGTTAAAAAATAAGGTAATTTTTATCTCGAACATTACAAAAATGTGGAATTTTGTGTTGGTTAATTTATTATTTGTCTTGAAATTTGATTATAAGTATATTTAATGGTACGTTTTTGATATGATTGTGTTACGTTTATAAAACGTTCATATTACGTTCTAATTTTATTATTCCGCTTTTCAAATATAGAGACGATTTTAAAGTACTATGAGTGATATTTGAATATAAATATGTTTAATGATACCTTAGTGATACGTTTGTGTTACGTTTTAAATACGTTTTGTTTTAAAAACACTAGTATATACCTTTCTCGAGATACACTTTATTATTGGCAGATTGAAAACATTCTTCATAAATAGTATGCATTTATTTAAGATATATTCCTGTGATGTCAAAAATCTAAACTAGTGCTTGTAGTAGTTAGAATATTAGTTAATTTCAGCCTCTGATAATACAAAATTGTGGAACTGTGTGTTGATTAAATTATTTGGCTTGATATTTGCATATAAGTACGTTTAATGATACATTTATGATACGTTCACATTGCGTTCTAATTTTACTATCCTTTTTTTTCATCTAGAAGGGATTTTAAAGTAAATCGGGGTGATATTTGAATGTAAGCTATTTAATGATACGTTTGTGTTACGTTTTAATTAAGTTGTGTTTTACAAACAGTCGTGCCTACTTACCTTGCGGTACACTTAACTGCTGATAGATTGAGATAATATTTTTGATAAATAGAATGTATTTATTTTGGATATATGTACTCCTGTGGCAACAAAACTCCAGATTAGTTGCTTTCAGTAGTTAGAACGTACGTTAATTTTTGCTTTTGACACTATAATGATACGTTTGGGTTACGTTTATAAAACGTTCACATTGCATTCTAATTTGGTTATCATTTTTTCCACTTATAGAAGTGATATTTCAATGTAAGTATATTTAATGATACGTTGATGATACGTTTGCATTACGTTTTAATTATATTTTGTTTTACCTAGCTCGCGGTACAGTTTAAAGTGTCCGATTGAGAATATATTCTTGATAAATAGAATGTATTTATTTAAGTAATTTACAAACTTATAAAGGATATGTGTAATGTTACAGTGAACGCATTCGTATGATATGAAAAACCCATCAAGTCGATAAATAAATTTCTACCTTCATAATATCACAAATGTAGCTAAAACTATCAACATTTAACAAACAAATGATACGTAACAATCATACAGATATGTACAGACTGATGCATATAATACACGGTAGTAAAAACGTCAAAAGTCCGTCACGAGCGCCACTCCCGCCACAATCTTTCGAGTCCGCATTCAATTATTGAACACTCCGCTATTGTTGGTGAAAGTTTTGGGAGAGGGAGAACTTTTGGCAAGCAAATACTTGGTGAGTTCGCTCTCGAAATTGCGAAAATCAATCGAGTCCTCCAGTGACTGATTTGAATTTGGCGAGACCGGATTGTTCCTGAGGACGTCGTCGCTCGACGTCGACGGCGTCACGGTCGGCGCCACCGGCGACCCGCCCTGCATGTGGTCCTGGCGCAGGTTGTCGCACGTCTCCTTCATCTTGGTGAGCTGCTTCTGGAGGGTTCGGTACTCTTCGAGGAATTTCTCGAGTTGCGCCGCGTGGTAGTCGTAGGAATTCGCGTTTGGCGTCACCGAAGTGGGGGACGAGGAGTCCCTCTTGAACGCCACGCGGCTCTCCAGCCCCGACACGTCGAGCAGGGGGGTGGGCGTCACCTCCTCCTCCCGGGTGAGGTTCAAGTAGCTGCTTGACATTTTGTTTACCTGCAAGGGAAAAAGTGAAAACATTGGGGCGGGCTGAGACACCGATAAATAACCGTACCCTGTTTTTGTTTAAGTTCGCCGCCACCGGATACTTGGAGCAGTCCGAGAGCCTGCGGAGGCTCGACTCCTGGCTGCCGCAGCTGCTGTCGCCGCCGCTGCTTCCGTACCGACTCTCGGGGAGCAAAGGTGACTGGCTGTCGCTGCTTTTGTAGCGCGAGCTCTGGATGAGCGCCCTTTTCCGCGGTAAAGTGCAGAACAATTCGGTTATGTCGGTCACGCTGCCGCCTTCGCTGTTCGCCTTGTTCCCAAACTTGTACGAAGAGTTCTCAATCAAATCCGGATATTTCTTGTCACCGTCGTCCTCCATCAAGCTTGACAGCTCACTGTTGTAGGTTGTCGCGTAGCCGCCAGATATTTGCCTGCGAAGGAGATGTGGGGCAACGCTTTGGCTTAGGGATGTCGACGGCTGTTCGTATCCACTATATGTACCAGACGTCGAACTGAACCCCTTCCGGATATCGTCTCTAGAAGAAAAGTGCTCAACTAAACGGAAAATCAAAACGAAAGAAACGCTTTAAAATCGCATTTTTAATAGGCGGAGGTGTAGCGTGTACGGTGTGCACTTGTAATAATCGGTTTTTAGTTTCTGAGCGTAAGCTAAGGAAGTATTGTAATCGAGTTTCATGCTTCATGGCCTCTAGAGGTCAAAAAAAAATAGATCACTTGTTTCCGTCTGTCTCTCTGTCTGTCGTCTGGCGTCTGTCCGAATTTTTGTTAGATAGGTAATCTCTGAAACTACTGTGTTAGGAATATCACGTAGCCAAAATTTGTCCGCTCATCCCCACCAACAATGGAATGCCGTCATATCTAGATTTTACAATAGTAAATCCTCTCCATTTTATGAATCCGTGTTGAGTTAAAATTCTATAACATTTTACAATTTAGCTTTAAAATTCCAAAAACGAGTGTTTTGAAATCTTGCCAACGTTCTAAGGAATTTTGGGCAATAAATGTTATTTAAATCTTAAGACGTAACGTAGTCCTGAACTTATGGTTTATGAATCCGTGTCGAATTTTTATCATAGATATCGAGACTTTTGAAAAAAAATCGAAATTCGGCTTTTCCATTTTTCAACTTTTGATTTCTTCGATTCTTTGATTATTCGATTTTCTGATTTTTCAATTTTTTAGTGTTTGGAATTTTCAGCTTTTCAATAATTCTTCAATGTTTCGAGTTTTCAAATTTTCGAATTTTTGACTTCGATTTTAAGACTTTTCGATTCTCAATATTTGTTTTCCGATTTTTTGTTGCTTCAGTTTTGGGATTTTTCAAATTTTCGATTCTTCCATTTTTCAATATTTCGATATTTCAGTTTTGGGATTTGTCAAGATTTTGATTCTTTAATTTTTCGAATTTTCAATTTTTCTATTTCTCCATTTTTACTAATTTGATTTTTAAATTCTGGATTTTTCAATTTTTAGGTTTCTTGATTTTTAAAATTCACGATATTTTATATTTTATATTTTTTTGATTTCTCGATTTTTCGGTCTTTCACTTCCTCAACATTTCAATTTTTCAATTTTTCGAATTTTTAAGCTTAAACTTTAAAGTTTTTTGATGTTTTGATTTCTCCCTGTTTCGATTTTTCGAGTTCTGCGTTTTAGATTTTTCGGTTTTTCAAATTTTCAATTTTTCGATTCTTCAGTTTCTCCGTATTTCGAATCTTTAAATTTTATGTTTTTCTGTTTTTTGATGTACTGATTTCTCCATCTTGCGATTTTTCGACTTCTCGGTTTTAGTTTTGTCGGTTTTTCAATGTTTAGATTTTTAAAATTTTTGAATTTTGGATTTTTCAATTTTTTTATGTTTGGATTTCTCCTTTTTTAATTTTTCAATTTCTAATATTATAGACTTTTAGATTTCTTGATTTTTCAGTTTTTCGATAATTCTAAGGATTTTTCAATTTTCACCTTTTTAAATCTTTTATTTCTCCGTTTTTTTGAGTTTCGATTTCGGGATCTTACGATTTTTCGAATTTTTTGTGTTAGTTTATTGTATTTTTCAATTTTTAGACTTTTAAAACATTTGATTTTTGAAATGTAGAATTTTTCGGTTCCCAATTTTTCGATTTTTTAGTTTTTCGATATTTCTAAATATTTTTTAAATTTTCGAATGATTAAATTTAAAATTTTTCAGTTTTTGATGTTTCAATTTCTCGATCTTATGATTTTTCTATTTCTCGATTTAATTTTTTTCAGCATTTCAATTTTTCAATTGTTAACATTTTAGATTTTTCGATTTTTCAATTTTTCGGTTTTTGAATTTTTCGAATTTTCAATTTTTCGATTTCTCGATTAATCGATTATTTGGTTTTCCCATTTCTCGATTTCTGGACTTTTCAGCGTTTTGATTTTTCAGTTTTTCAATTCTTCAATTTTTCGTTTATTTTTTAAATTTTGGGTTTTTTAGTTTTCCGATTTCTCAATTTTTCGATGTTTCAGTTTTGGGATTTTTCAAAATTTCCATTCTTCAATTTTTCTTCCATTCTGTATTTTCGGTTATTTAATTTCTCCATTTTTGAGTTTCCCGAAATTTCAATTTTTCGATTTCCCGGTATATCCAGATTTCGATGTTTCGATTTCCAGATATTTCAGTTCGTGAATTTTTCGAATTTTCAATTTTTGTCGATGTATCGAGATTTCGATGTTTCTGTTTCCCGATGTTTCAGTTTTTGAATTTTTCAACGTTTCGATTTTTCAATATTTCTATTTTTTTTTGAATTTCAAAATTTTTGATTTATTAAATTTCACAGTATTCGATTTCTCAATTCCTGGATTAATCGATTATTTGATTTTCCCGTTTGTCGATTTCTCGACTTTTCAGCGTTTTGGTTTTTCAGTTTTTCAAATCTTCAAGTTTTGGTATTTATCAAATTTTGTATTCTTCAATTTTTCTTCCGTGTTTCAATATTTCTATATTTTAGTTTTGCGATCTCTATATTTTGGGATTTGTCAATATTTCCATTTTTGAAATTTTCGTTTTTTTAGTGCTTCGATTTTTTAAATTTTGGATTTCTCGATTTATTAAGTTCTCGATTTCTCGATTTTTCGAGCTTTCAGTTGTTCGATATTTCTAAGTATGTTTCAATTTTTCGAATTTTTTAATTTCAAATTTTTCAGTTTTTTTGATGTTTCGATTTCCCGATCTTACGATTTTCCAATATCTCGATTTTAGTTTTTCGGTTTTGCAATGTTTCAATTGTTAAAATTTTTGATTTCGTTTTTTCAATTCTTCGGTTTTTTCATTTTTCATTTTTTTGATTTTTCGATTTATCGGGATTTTGATGTTTCGATTTTTTGATTATTCGGTTTTTCGATTTTTCAAGTGTTCGATTTTTCAATTTCTCGATTAATCCATTTGATTTTTCCATTTCTTGATTTCTCGACTTTTCAGCGCTTTCAATTATAAGTTTTTCGATTCATCAATTCCACAATTTTTCAAATTTTCAATATTTTTCAATTTTTCGATGTTCAAATTTTCCGATTTTTCAATATTTCAATTTTTGACCTTTCTAAATTTTGGATTTTTCAATTTTTTGATTTTTCGACTTTTCGATTTCTCGATTTTTCGATATCTAGACATCGCGACTTTAGATTTTTCGATTTTTCGATATTTTGATTTTCGGTTTTTCAGTTTATCGATTTCTTAATCTTTTGATGTTTCAATTTTGGGATTTTTCAACTTTTCGATTCTTTATTTTTTCGAATTTTCAATGTTTTAATTTTTCATTTTTTTGTTTTCTCGATAATTTGATCTTTCCATTCTTTGATTATTTATTCGATTTTCAGTTTTGTCAATTTTTCGATTAATCGATTTCTCGATTTTTCGACTTTTCAGTGTTTTGAATGTTCAATGTTTCGATTTTTTGACTTCGATTTTAAGACTTTTCGATTTCTCAATTTTTCAATATTTCGATTTTCTTTATTTTTCGCGGTTTCAGTTTTAGGATTCGATTTTTTAATTTTTTGATGTTTTGATTTCTTCCATATTTCTATTTTTCAATTTTTCGAATCTTTAAATTTTTTTGTTTTTTTGATGTATTGATTTCTCCACCTTGCGATTTTTCGACTTCTCGTTTTCAGATTTTTCGGGCTGTCAAATTTTCATTATTTTTCATTTTTGATTTATCGTTTGTTCAATTTTTTGGTTTTTTAATTTTTCCGTTTTTCATTTTTGAATTTTTCGTTGTTTAGAATTTTTGATTTTTCGATTATTCGATTTTTCGACTTTTCTGCTTTTGTATGTTTTGATTCCCAATTTTCCGAAATTTTGATGTTTAATCTTTTTTTGGATTTTTAATTTATCGAGAATTAGATGTTGATTTTTCATCTTTTTTTGATACCTCAATTTCTGGATTGCCTTGAGTTTTCCATTTCTCGATTTCTTAACTTTTCAGTGTTTTGAATTTTTACTCTTTCAATTCTTCAATGTTTCGATTTTAAGACTTTTCGATTTCTCAATTTTTTAATTTTTCGATTTCTGAAAATTTCGTTATTTCAGGCTTGGGATTCAATTTTCTAAATTTTAGATTTTTCGTTTTTTCGATTTCTTGATTTTTCGATTATTCAATTTTTTGGTTTTGTGAATTTTCAACTTTTTGATTTCCCGATTTATCGAGATTTCGATGTTTCGTTTCCCTAATGTTTCAGTCTTTGATTTTTCTGGTTTTCCGTATTTCGGTTTTTCCTGTTTGTCGATTTGTCGACTTTCCTGCTTTTCTGTGTTTTGATTCTCCAATTTTTTGACGTTCCGATTTTTCAATTTTTGGATTTCTCCATTTTTCAATATCTCAATTTTTCTAAAATTTAATTTTTCGATTTTGTGATGTTTCGATTGCTTGATCTTTCGATTTTTAGGTTTTTCAGTTTTTCAATTTTAGAAGTAGGTAATTTTTCCATTTGGTTACCTCTTTTATATATAGTTCATATTTTGCACTTCAGTGGCGAGGGAAGTTCTGTCAAAATAACCTTCGACCAATTTTTTATTTTTTCATTTAAAGCGCATGCGTTCACAAGCTGTGTCCAACCGTGTGAGTATTTCGTCGCCTGAGAACTGGATTGCCGCATAGACCAGGCACGGTGCGAGGGATTTTCGTCTTTAGCGTTCTATGCTGATGTGACCCACGTCCGCTTGAGCGAGGGAAGCTAGTATAAAAGAAACTTTTAAGGCGAAAATCCCTCACCTAGTGTCTGGTCCACGCGGCAAACCAGTCCGTTGATCTCGCACCCGTTACGTCACACTCACCTGGCCTCCTGGATCGTCCTCCGCGGTATGTGCAAGTCGTCGGGATCCAACAAATGCTCCGGCGAATTCCACCTCTTCTCGATCGCGCTCTCGACCCACACCTTCTTCGCCCCTTCCACGTTGGCCTCCTCCTCCTCCTCCACCTCCTCGTTGTCGGCCACCGGCACCACCCTGTACTCCCCGTTCTTCTTCGTGGCCACCACGGCAATCTCCGCCGGCACCGCGCCCCCGTTCGAGTTCCCCGCCACTTTGTGATTCATCTCGATCTTCTCGTAGTTGTCTTCGCGCCGACACTCACGAGTTCTCCACGTCAGCATTTGCTTCTTCCTCACCGAGTATATACACAACGCGATCAGACACGAAGCCAGAACTAACGCGATCCCCGTGATAACACTAGCAATGAGTATTTTGTTATTGAAAGCCGTCTCCGGAGGTTTCCTTATCACCGCTAAAGTCACACTAGCTTCCACCCTCCCCGCTTTGTTTTCGGCCGCACAAACGTACACCCCTGCGTCCTGGAGGTCAGCACTAAAGATAGTCAAGTCGCTGGAGTTGTTCTGGAGGTGCACCATGTAGAGTTTTTTCCCGTTGGAGTACGACGAGCCGGATAGGTTAGCTATGACTTTGTTCTTGAGCAGCCATCGGACTTGAGGTTCCGGGATCCCGGCGATCCGGCAGGTCATGGTGACGTTCTTGCCTTCCACTCCTTTGGCTTTGCTCTCGTAGGCGAAGATCTCGGGGATGCAGGCGAACTCGTCGAGGTCGAGCTTGTCCCAGGGTTTGGCCCGCAGACGCTTGGGGCTCTGGCAGACCGGAGGAATCCCGAACGGGACGTTCTTCCGCACCATCCACTCCCTCAAGGGTCTCAACGGGCACGAGCAATTCCAAGGGTTCCCTGCTAGTTCCAGGCCGTGCAGGTTATTCAAAACGGTGAACGACGAAGACATCACCTCGGCGATTTTATTATAGTCCAGTTTAAGCCATTCCAGCGACTCTTCTAGCCCGTGGAAGGCCCGGGGTTCTATCGACGTGATCCGACACTCGGATAGCTCTAGTCTCACCAGCTGCGGCACGTGGACGAAGGCCTCATCCAGGATCCTCTGGATCGGGTTCCCGTTCAGCCGCAACTCCCTCAGTTCGGGGATGGAGTCGAAGGTCTGCGACGGGACCGACGCCAGCGCGTTGTGGCTCAGGTCCAGCTCCACCAGGTTGATGAGCTTGCGGAAGGCGTGGCGCTCGAGGTTCTTGAGGCGGCAGTGAGAGATGTAGACCTTCTGCAGGTTGAGCAGGCCCGCCTTGCCGAACTCGTCGTTCTTCACGGAGACGAGGTTGTTCTTGGACAGGTTGAGCACCTGGGTGCCGGCCTCGAGGTGCAGGGGCACGGTGGACAGGTTGGCGTTGGGACAGGACACGGACTCTTTGCCGCTCTTCCACTTGCATTCGCACAGCCGGGGGCAGTCCGCCACGATCATTTGCGTGCAGAAGCCGATGACGATGGCCAACTGCAGGTTGAACGATGGCATGGTGGGATGCGGGGGGATCATCGCACGGGCTGCGGCTCTTCGCTGTCTTCTTCTTCGGTTTCCATCGCGGAGATGGCGTGGCCGGACGAACACCTGCAAAAGGGGACGCGTTTAACTTAATTTCAAACCTCAAATTCACGATCGTATTTTAAAAGAACCAGGAATATATCCGCACCACGCGCAAAGAGTGCAAGCTTTGGAGCCCGCTGATTTTCCACGTCGTGTAATTGCAAGTAGAAGACGCGGCTTCCTCACTCTACATCGCATTGGTGCGCACCATCAGGGTTGCAACGCACGTAAGAAGAGTCTCTGCGAATTTTTGCGAGTTTCCTCTGGAAAACGAGGAACTATTTTGATATAAATTCGCAGCTAATCGCCGATAGCACACAACTCAATTAGCGCCCCCTTTGTGTAAGGTAAATCTTGAACAAAGCGCTTCTTTGTCACGTGTCTTCTTTGAGAGCCCTAATGAGAATATTGTTAACAGCTCGGGATGGTTTTTTCTCCGTCGAGGGGCCCTAATTGAATTAGGAATGAGCGGCGAGGCCTCAAAATTAATATGACGTGGGCAGTTCGCGGGCGCTAAGAAAAGGCGGCGCCGTAATGATATCGCGTTTTATCATAACTGAAGCATCTTTATACATCTTATCACCGTTCTTTTTTGTAATTTCTTTGACCGTAATAGGAAGCAAAAGCACTTTAGCTTTCAAGTCTCACAGGAAATTGCAGTGCGGCCTGGCCTGGTTAACCAACCAAGCGTCCTCTTTACGTCCTTTCACTGTTTGTTTAATCTCGGCGTCGGCTTACATGCTAACTTTCTTAGGGTTCCACCAGGGCGCGAATATTTACATTTCGAGTGCCTAAATATTCATTAAAATGTGTCGGATTCAATTAAAAATGCGGTAATTAGGACGGACCTTTTAAATTGCAGCTTAGGGATTTTGAGCCGGATGCAGTTTTTCTGACAAGCTTTAGGCAGGATTTGCACCTGTCTGGAAAAGTGAAGAGGAATTTCATAATTTTAATAATACTAATAATAAGTTTTATGATAATCTCTGTAAGCTACAACCAGTAGTGTAATTAACACCCACAGATAACCAACGGGAAAAAATGTAGATATTCTCAATTTCTCAGTACATGCTTAACTTTGACTGTTAATATTTATACCTCGAAGAATTCGACTATTAGCACGTTCATATTACAAGCATATGCGGTTAAAAGAAAATGAAATTTGATTGATTTTGTCGCCTCAACGCAAAGGAGAGGACTGATTAATTAACTAGTTACATGCAGTTTTTTCCCAAAAACACTCATAAAATTGAACAACATTTGATCACCAAAATTGTAAGATGAGGGACAAAGTTTAGTGTTCACAATTTTAAAGTTAAATTGCCAAATATTGTTATACAATTGTGATTTTTTTTCCAAAAATCTGGATGTGTCGGGCAAAAACTCAACACGGATTCATAAAGTACACGTGTAGAAGTGTGTTATTTTATAAAAATAATTCTTCTTTCGATATCTCCTTTTACTTTTGAGAAACCAAGAATATGCATTCCCTGATTTTTCTCAAAATAACCTGTTGGTAATTTCTCTACAGAAATATGGACTTTGCAAGAAGCTCCGCCTCCTGGTCTCACAACGAATACAAACTTTATCACAATTGGCATAGCGGTGGGTGGGTGGGGCATAATATTCAGCTTCTTTTTCTTAATAATTAATTTTCAAAAAACGATTTTTAAAATATGTTTTACATGGTCATTTTTTGTAGAGAAATATGAACTTTGCAATTAAGCTCTGTCCCTAGATTCAAGACGAATAAAAAAAATTGTCACAATTGAGATGGGGTGGGTGGGTGGGGCTTATCCTTTGATTTTCGCTTCGTGGGTTACATAGTCTTCTTTCAACAATATACTTAAAATATCAAATCGTAAATTTGAGGAATTTTCATTAAACGCGGTTTTCTTTAATACTGAAAATTTTGAAATTGATATGCGGCAAAGTAATATTTAATCCATTGAGATTACTTTTGAATAATGCAGATACTCAATAACAGGTTTTGTTTCCAGTTAGTATGTTTGAAAGCAAGTAGTACGTCAAACAGTGTATGTGCATTATTTGAGGTACGTTTATTTAAGGAATCAAATGAATATTTTTGGAAAATGAGACGAAGTATAAAGTTATTTTTTGTTAAAAAATAGATTACTTTGAAAAATTTGCAAGTAGATTCTCTAGAATTGTCATTTATAAATTCCGTTGCCAAGTTGCCATTGATAGTAACTTTTGCCGTATTTAAAAAGGTTGTAGAAGAAAAGTGGAGGATTTAAGTTGATTACTACAAAAATTTACCACTTTGGACACGTTTTAAGTTTCTTGATGTAGAAATAAGTCTACACATATTAAGAAACAAAGGCAAAAGTTAGCCCCGCCCACCCGCCCTATCTCGATTGTGATGATTTTTTTGATTCGTCGTAAACCAAGGGGGCGGAGCTTAACTACAAAATCCTTATTTCTTTATGAGAAATTGACAACATGTTTTTGAGTATCGTGTCGTTCAAAGGATACTATGTATATTAAGAAATGAAGCCAAAGATTAGATTAGACCCCACCCATACCCGCCCCGATTTCAATTCTCAATTGTGAGGAATTTTTCATTAGTTGTCAGATCGAGGGGCGGGGCTTAACTGCAAGATCCATATTGGTCTACGAGAATTAAACATGTTTTAAGTTTCTTGTTCTGAAAAGACGACTACTTGTGTCAAGAAATAAGGCAAATATAAGCCCCACCCACCCGCCCTGTCTCAATTGTAATGATTTTTTCTTCAAAAAATACTATGTATACTAACTATAATAAAGCCAAAAATTAAACCCCACCCATACCTGGCCTGATCTAAATAGTAATATGTATAAGTTTTCATTCGCTGGCAGACCTAGGGGAGGAGTCTAATTGCAAAATCTATATTTCCTTACAAATTTACCATTTTAAACGTGTTTTAAGTTTCTAAGAATAAAAAAAATCATCACAATTGAGATGGGGTGGGTGGGCGGGGATTATATTTTGCCTTTTTTCTTAATATACTTAGTATTCTTTAACCAATATGACACTCAAAAATATGTTTTTAATTTCCTGTAAAGAAATAAATATTTTGCAGTTAAGCTCCGCCCCATTGGATCACGGTGAATAAAAAAAATCATCACATTTGAGACAGGGCGGGTGGGCGGGCTTACATTTTGTCTTTTTGTTTTAATATGTGTAGACTTCTTTTCACAACATGGAACTTAAAACGTGTTTAAAATGGAAAATTTGTATAAGGAAATATGGATTTTGCAACTAGGCTCCGCCCCATAATTGCAAATTCCATATGTCCTTGCAAAAATGCACCATTTTGACCATGTTCTAAGTTTCTTGTTGTGAAAAGATGGCTGTGTGTAGTAAAAAAAAGCCAAAATATAAGCCCCGTCCACCCGCCCTATCTCAATTCCGATGTTTTTCTTTATTCGACGTAAGCCGAGGGGCGGAGCTTAATTGTAAAATCCTTATTTTTCTACGAGAAATTACCGTATGAAATGTGTTCCTAAGTAATCGTGGTATACAAAGAAAACTAATGTACTAATTAAAAAAGAAAACAAAAGAGAAGCCCCACCCATTCGTCTCGATCTCAGTCGTGATGAATTTTTTATTCGTTGTCAGATCGAAGGGCGGGGCTTATTTGAAAGATCCATATTTGGCTACGACAATTTACCATTTCAAACATGTTTTAAGTTTCTTGTTCTGAAAAGACGACTAACGTATATTAAAAAAAAGACAAAATATAAGCCCCGCCCACCCGCCCTCTCTCAATTGTGATGATTTTTTTTAATCGTTGACAGCCAGAGGAGCGGAATTTAACTGCAAAATACTTATTATTTCTCTACAAGAAATTACCATGTAAACATGTTCTTGAGTATTGTGTTATTCAAAGAATACTGTGTAGTATTAAAAAAAATTCAAGCCAAAGATTAAGAGGCCCACCCCATACCTGTCCTGATCTAAATAGTAATAACATTTTCATTCGTCGGCAAACCTAGGGGCGGAGCTTTTAATTTCTTTGTAAAGAAATAAGTATTTTGCAGTTAAGCTCCGCCCCCTTGGTTCATGGCAAATAAAAAAAAATCGTCACAATAGAGGTAGGGCGGGTGGGCGGGCTAACATTTTGCCTTTTTGTTTTAGTATGTGTAGCTTTAAGAAATGCTCGTTGATAGTAACTTTGATGTTAATATACAAGTCTACATACGTTAATAAAAAAGGCAAATTGTAGCTCCGCCCACCCACCCTATGTCAATTCTGATGATTTTTTTTTATTCGTCGTTAGCCAAAAGGAAATTAACTACACAATCCTTATTTCTCTGCGAGAAATTAAAACATGTTTTTGAGTATCATGTTTTTCAAAAAATGCAATGTTTATTAAGAAAAATAAAGCCAAAGATTGGACTCCACCCATACCCGCCCCGATCTCAATTCTCAATTGTGACGAATTTTTCATTCGCTTTCAGATCGAGGGACGGGGCTTAATTGCAAGATCCATATTTGTCTAGAAGAATTTAAAATTTTAAACATGTTTTAAGTTTCTTGTTCGGAAATTAATTGCAAAATCCTTTTTATTTATCTACAAGAAATTACCATGTAAGACACATTTAAGTGTATCGTGTTATTCAAAGAATAAAATTAAAGGCAGAGATTTAGCCCCACCCATACCTGCCCTGATCTCAATAGTAATGGTTTTCATTCGTTGGCAGACCTGAGGGCGGAGTCTAATTGTAAAATCCATACTGTTCTAAACATGTTTTAAGTTTCTAAGAAAAAAAAATCACCACCATTGAAATTTTTATATTTTCCCCATTACATACACATGTACATAGTATTCTTTGAACAACACGAGACTCAAAACCATGTTTTAAAGTTCTTGTAAAGAACTAAGTATTTTGCAGTTAAACTCCGCCCCCTTGGTTCACGGCGAATAAAAAAATCATCACAATTGAGACAGGGCGGGTGGGCGGGCTGACATTAATACTTTTTGTTTTAATATATGTAGAATTCTTTTCACAACATAAAA